ACTGGAGAGAAACCTTACAAATGTAGAGAATGTGGCAAATCCTTTATCAGCCATACAGGTCTTAATAATCATCAAGGTGTTCATAATGAAGATAAGCTTTATAAATGTAGAGAATGTGGTAGAGCATTCCTCCTTGCCTCAAATATGATTCGACATCAGAAAGTTCATACTGGAGAGAAACCTTACAAATGTAGAGAATGTGGCAAATCCTTTATCAGCCATACAGGTCTTAATAATCATCAAGGTGTTCATAATGAAGATAAGCTTTATAAATGTAGAGAATGTGGTAGAGCATTCCTCCTTGCCTCAAATATGATTCGACATCAGAAAGTTCATACTGGAGAGAAACCTTACAAATGTAGAGAATGTGGCAAATCCTTTATCAGCCATACAGGTCTTAATAATCATCAAGGTGTTCATAATGAAGATAAGCTTTATAAATGTAGAGAATGTGGTAGAGCATTCCTCCTTGCCTCAAATATGATTCGACATCAGAAAGTTCATACTGGAGAGAAACCTTACAAATGTAGAGAATGTGGCAAATCCTTTATCAGCCATACAGGTCTTAATAATCATCAAGGTGTTCATAATGAAGATAAGCTTTATAAATGTAGAGAATGTGGTAGAGCATTCCTCCTTGCCTCAAATATGATTCGACATCAGAAAGTTCATACTGGAGAGAAACCTTACAAATGTAGAGAATGTGGCAAATCCTTTATCAGCCATACAGGTCTTAATAATCATCAAGGTGTTCATAATGAAGATAAGCTTTATAAATGTAGAGAATGTGGTAGAGCATTCCTCCTTGCCTCAAATATGATTCGACATCAGAAAGTTCATACTGGAGAGAAACCTTACAAATGTAGAGAATGTGGCAAATCCTTTATCAGCCATACAGGTCTTAATAATCATCAAGGTGTTCATAATGAAGATAAGCTTTATAAATGTAGAGAATGTGGTAGAGCATTCCTCCTTGCCTCAAATATGATTCGACATCAGAAAGTTCATACTGGAGAGAAACCTTACAAATGTAGAGAATGTGGCAAAGCCTTTAGTGATTCCTCCTCCCTTAATAGACATCAGACAGTTCATACTGGTGATAAGCTTTACAAATGTAGAGAATGTGGAAAAGCCTTTGGGCACTCCTCATCCCTTCGTTATCATCAGAGAGTTCATACTGGAGAGAGGCCTTACAAATGTAGAGAATGCGGAAAAACCTTCAAGAAATCCCAAACTCTTACTGACCATCAGAAAACTCATACTGGAGAGAAGCCTCATGAATGTGGAGAATGTGGCAAAGTCTTTAGACAGACCTCAACCCTTACTGAACATCAGAGAATTCATACTGGAGAGAAACCTTATAAATGTACAGAATGTGGCAAAGCCTTTAGAAAGTCCTCACAACTTACTTTGCATCTGAGAGTTCATAGTGGAGAGCAGCCGTATAAATGTAGAGAATGTGGCAAAGGATTCAGTGCAGCACAATCTCTTAATTGTCATCAGAGTGTTCATACCGGGGAGAAGCCTTATAAATGTAGAGAATGTGGCAAAGGATACAGTACGGCAAAATCTCTTAATTACCATCAGAGATTTCATATCGGGGAGAAGTATTATAACTGTAATGAATGTGGCAAAGTTTTTAGGCATTCCTCAAACTTGTCTAGGCATAAGAGATTTCATACTAGAGGGAAGCCTTTTCAATGTAATGAATGTGGCAAAGCCTATGTCTATTCCTCATCCCTTCATCGTCATCATAGTGTTCATAGTGGAGAGAGACCTTATGTGTGTAAGGAATGCGGCAAAGCCTTCCGTGAGTCCTCTAACTTAACACGCCATCAAAGAGTTCATACTGGTGAGAAGCCTTATAAATGTAATGAATGCGACAAAGCCTTCAGTGAGTCCTCTAAATTTACACGCCATCAAAGAGTTCATACTGGTGAGAAGCCTTACAAATGCCAACAATGTGGCAAAGCCTTTAGCCGGTCCTCATACCTTACTAATCATCAGAGAGTTCATGCTCGAGAGTAACCTCACAAATGTACCTAATGTAGCAAAGTTTCAGTGCATTATCAACCCTAAGTTATCACCAGAGGTCATACTGCAGAAAAGTCCTATGTATCAAGATTGTGGCAAAGGCATTCCTTAGGCCTTCTGGACCATCAAATAACCCATACTGGAGAGAATCTTCGTGAATGTGGAGACTGTGGCCATGCCTTTTGCCCGTCCTCACACTTTACTAAGCATCAGAGAATTTATGCTAGAGAGAAGCCTTATAAATGTAGAGAATGTGGCAAAGTCTACAGGCATTCCTCAGCCCTTATTTACCATCACAGAGTTCATACTTGAGAGAAGCCTAATATGTGCGGAAAATGTGGCAAATCCTTTGGCAACACCTCAAACCTCTCAGCGCATCAGAGAGTCCATAGTGGAGAGAAGTATTAAAGATGTGAGGAGTGTCATAAATCCTGTACCAACAGTTAGTACTTACTGAGCTCACAGAATTCTAAATGGGAAGAAGTCTTCTGAATGTGAAAAATGTAGAAAACCCATTAAAAGGCACACTTTTATTACTGTACATGAGACACTTCATACTGAAGAGAGAACTTAAAAAGGTAGAGCTTTCAAGAGCCTGTACATACATCTCCAAATGTAGTGAATAACAGAGATGTGTATAGTGGAGGAAATCTTTACACTGCAGAAAATGTGAGAAATTACTGACTGGCATTCCTGAGTGGTTTACCTTCGATGTATGAACCACAATGTCAGTGCAATTCCCTGACTGGCATAAGCCCTGTTTGGAGATTCTGTCTTCATTGTGGGGTATGAAGGAGCTAGCTGATCCATGACTCCCTCTGATCGTTGATATTTCTATTGCTAGCTCTCTTTTCCTCTCTGAAATCAATAAAAATATATTTTGAAAAATGAAAAGAATGTGAGGAAACCTTTAGTCAGTGTTTATTCTGTTCTGTACATCAGAATGTTTATACTAGAGAGAAACCTTGCAAATGTGATCTGTGAGATTAATCCTTGTCAATGAAGTCTTATTTAACCTCAGAGAAGTCATTGTGAAGGAAAGCCTTAAAATATGTAGAATGAGGCACAACTTTTAATTATCCTTGTTGTCTTGCTGAACATAAGAGTATTCATACTGTAGAGAACACTTGTAAATGTGCTGTGTGTGACTTGGATAAGCAGTGGGGATGCTCACACTGTGTTGCTCCTTGGTAGAGCATGGACACATGAACCGGGAAGTCAGCATTCATTTCCCGATCAAAGCTCATACCCTGTTTGTGGGTTAGGTACCCAGTAGAGTTCACCCAAACGCAGCTCATCAATAATTCTGCTTATTATTGCTGTTTCTATCCCTCTCCCTCTCCCTTCTTCTCTCTCAAATCCAATACCAGTGGGGTTGTAGTACAAGGCAGAAGATGTTCCTTACCCATGATGCAGAATTTCCATGAACTTTGCATTGGAGGGAGGGCACCTGTTTTTGAGGTGCACTCCTAACTGAATTCAGAAAATTAAGTTTATTGTTTTCATTTCCTATTTCATATTCTTCTCTGTTATTTTTTCCCCCTTATTTTTCTGCTCAGCTGATACTCTTCTTCAGTGCTATAACAATGGCATTTAAACCTCTTTCTCTCCCACAACCCTCTGGCCCCTGTAGCTTCTGTTCTGTAGTTTGGAATTTTACTAATGCAATCACTGACATCAGAATTTGGCAAAATTTTGCTTTATATTCATGAAGTAGGTTGACCACTATTCATGTTTTCATGCTGGATTGTATAGTTTTGAATATGAATATTTATGGGCTATAATAAATTGGCTTCTGTGTCCTTTATAACTGGAATGATGTTTCTTGTCTTGATTTTTATTTATATGCTTAAGAATTTCACAGTGTTACCTCATTAACTTCTTTCTTAGGATGGATTCAGCCCGTATTAAACAGATTATATTCTCAGTGACTTGAATGTGACTGGATTTTGGTCATTTTTTCTAACTGAACCCCACAGACCATGACAGATTTGCAGTTAAAATTTTTTATTATTTTGCATCAAAAGTTATTTTGTATATTCACAGAATGACCACAGGTATGTTCATAGGCATTAGCTGTCCCTGGAGTGTTTTCCAACCTGTCACTGGAAGTTCCATGGACAGCAGGATAGCACAGATTAACATGAAAGCCCCACATTTATTCTCCAGTGTCTTGTGCTGACTTTCTACAAGGTGGTAAACATCAGTTCCTATCATGTGCCACCCAAAAGGACTGACAAAACCATTACAGAAACAAGATGGTCAATATTCTTCTACTTTCTGACATACCCATGGAGCATTTGTATGTATACGTATGTGGTGATATTTTGTGGACTGGCTCATCTGGACCAGGGGCTTTATGAATTTGTTCTGTACAAGGTCATACTATGAGATCCTGATCATTCAAAGAATATAATCCCATCTAGACAATAGTTCCATTTTCTGGTATTGTAGTGAGGAATATTGAGGTGGTATATTGATGGGAAATATACATAAGATCTTTTTTCCCTGCCAATGGTCATTATGAAAATAGATGAAGCAGACATTGTTTCTAGGTTTAGAGGACCTTCTGTTTACATTTTGTCCAGGTTGCATTTTCTTCTGATTTGGGGTGAAAAGCTCTAAAACAGAGGTTTTAATATTTTTTATCTCATGGCACACATGGAGTAATTACTGAAATTCTGAGGTCCTCCAAAATGTATGTATGTGCCAATCTTAAAAAAAGTCTGATTTTGATCCATGCACACCACACAGCTATTACTGTCCTGGCCTTCATCACATTTTATTCGACTGTCTATGAGTAATGTAGTCCATGCTATTGTCTAAACAGTCAGGTGTTGCTTGATCTAAAAAATGTTGCAACATACCAGTTTGCCTGTGTGACACTCCAGTTGATAATCAAAGCCGTAAACCTATCCAATCCTTGTCTCATTACTCATTTAAGACCACTTTTTCCATATTGACTTTTTTGTCTGCTAGATGTATGCTTTGATATCTATGGGAAGCTAAAGTCCCCTGCTAAGACGGTATTTGTATGTGCTGTGTTTTCTGGCTTCTGGTGGCAATACTAAGGGGTGATATTTTATTGGCCTAAAGCAAATAAATACTTATATAGGTTAAACAATCTTCTAGCCTGACTATTCTAAATTACAGGTTTCTAAACAGGTCATACCTTTAAATAAAGACTTCTCTAACACTTAAATGAATACCTAGATTCATGAAAATACTGGGAATTAAAATTTTTAAAATGGTGATGGGACTAAATAAACTGATAACATTTATCATTTTTATAACTTAAATATTGTTGATTTAAAAATTGTTTTGTTTACCAAATACAAGAAAAAGTAGCAGGAGACATTCTACATTAATATCAATGTCCCATTAACTAGATTATAGGGACTACTAAAGTCAAAATATTCATTTAAAAATGCATTCCCAGAACACAAAGATTTCAAAGACCACAACTTACAACTAAAAAATGTTATCCCTTGAAAAATACATAAATTAAAATCTGTTTCCCATCGTGTTGAATGGGACCTTATCACATCAGGGGCCTAACCATGAATGGATGTCTGGGTCTGTCTCTGACACCCCAATTCACTTGCTTCTCTAACTCAAGCTGCCTCTCCCTTCAGATGGGGAGACAGTAAGGGGCTGAGAGAGCAGGCTGCCATTCCCCTCCCCCCTCCTCACTGAGGGTTTAAGAATCCAGGCAAATCTAAGGTAAAAACTTTCTGGTTTCAAATCCAAGCGGCCGGCGTTTTGTATTCTCTGTAACTTCACTGTGAGAATGTGTCCCCAGCTTGTGAAGATCCTGGGAAAGACCCCTCCCTGGGACACCTGCAGCTGAAGGGCAGACCAGCCAGTAGCTCCAAGCACAGCCTCTGGGATCTGGGAAACTTCTGTGTGAATTCCAGGTTCCTCCTCCCTCTTTATGTGTTTGCCACAGCTGCCATTTACTCACTAGCACCCTAATAAAGGAACAGCCCCTCTATCTGGGGTGCCTTGTGCCATCAGAGGGCACCTGGCCCTTTCCTCCCTTTAAAGAAGTAAAATAAACGCCCTCTTCATTTATTCCAGATGCATATTCTCTGCTTTGGGTTGAAAAGCTCCAAGCCAGACATTTCAACACTTTTTATCTCATGGCACATGTGAACTAATTATTGATATTCAGTGGTCCACCAAAATATATATTTTGCTAGTCTGCCAAAAAAATGTCTGATTTTGATCCATTCACACCACACAGCTATTACAGTGTTGGCTGTTGTCACTTTATTCAACAATCTATGGGTATTGTAGTCTGTGCTGTTAACTAAACAGTCACTGTTGCTTGTGAAAATTCTCACAGCACACCAGTTTGCCTGTGTGACACTCCAGTTGATAATCACTGCTGTAAACATATCCAATCCAATCTGTATTGTCTAATGTGTCATTTAAGACCACTTTTCCTTACTGATTTTTTTCTCTGTAAGATGCATCCATTGATGTCAATGGGAAGTTAAAGTCCCCTACTGTTACTCTGTTACTTATTTTACAAATGTCAAAAACTATATACTAATCACTTTCTGTATCTGAAGGCCACCACATGGGCCTTCTCTGCCTTAGCCAGGTTAGCATGTGGCCCCTTTTGGTCCACACCCGACTCCCTCCCCGGAGGCCTCTAAAGCCACCAGGGCTTCAGGCCTGGGATCCTTCCCTGCTGACCCCCGCCACCCACCCATTCTGTAAGAGGCTTGAAGGGAGCATTTCAGATTTGCTTCCAGCTTGTCATCAGTTTGTTTCAAATGCTCTCTTACACAAATTTTCTAAAAAATAACGAGCCTGTTTCCATGGGGTGGGACTTAAAGGGAAAAATGCAGTTTCCCCAGAAGGGGTCACCTGCCCCGTAGGGAGGGGCTTTGTGGGAGCAGTCACTCCGCAGGGCGGGGAACCAGGCTGGGAGGTGTCAGGAGAGGGAGTAAGAGAGACCAGTGGGAGGGAGAAAAGGTGATTGAGGGGTCTCTAGTGAGGGGGTCGCTCGGGAAAGTAGCCTGAGGAGGAAGGAAGTGGAGACACAGGGAGGAGGGGGAGCCCAGAGAGAGGAAGGGGGGCTGAGAGGGAGCGGGTCCTGGGGAGCAGAAGTGGGGGCCGCACAGGAGGAGGCACTTGAGACAGAGACTCTGGTTCAGAGGAGAAGAGTTGGGGAGCGAGTGCAGGGACAGAAAGGGGGGCTCAGGGATGAGGGAGCAGAGGGAGCAGCCCTGAGTCAGCAGCTGTGGGAGCGGGACAGACGGGAACAGGCAGCAGAGGGGCCAGGGGCGTGGGGAGGGGAACACGCAGACGTGTGTGGAGATGGAGCCATCAGAGACCAGGGGAGAGAGCACCTGAAGGGAAGTAGGTTTCAGGAGTTTCATGGTCCAGGTGTAGGACAGACAGAGAGAAAAGGGAGAAAGATCGAGAGACAGGGAAGTGAAATATAGGAAAGGACCACAGTGGAGAAGAAGGGAACAGTGAGACAGAAACAGAACTATAGACATAAATACATTTTAGTTGGAGGTATGGGCACCCTGATCTGGATGAGAGGGGAGTTGATGGGATGTGGATGATTAAGTTGTGGTATATCGTCTGGTGTGTTGATATGGTTAATTTAACAACTGAATTATTTAAACAGATTTGACTGAAGATTATAAATCTCCAGTTTACAAGGTTTGCCAAATGTATACTTATTTGCTTCCATTTGCAAACCTTATTCACACGGAGGTAGAAACTAGTATGTTCCTGATGGGCCCCTTGTCATTTGCTGGGATGGCAAGAAGGAGGTGACCTGGGACAAGAAATGACTGAGTCTGTCCCCACAGGATGGTTTATCAAGGAGTATTAGAAGCATCAATATTTTT